TCAATTCAGTCTACCCTAACAGTGGCCTTGCAGAAACACGTCTGTGAGACGACTTAGCCCATCGTATTCTCCTAATGCAACAATGTCACACGCTTAACTTAATCACATGCCAGCCCCGTCCATAAACGATGGTTAGGAATTCAATACGGTAAACATATCACTCATAGCACAGGTGTTGGTATGGTACCCTACTTTTGAACAGTGCATACATATATGTATCGTTTGAGATCAAACGTACTGGGGCGTTACTAAACCATTCCTGGGGAGGGTGAGCATTATTGCTGACTCTCCTAACCGCCCCCCCCCCCCCCAATAAAATAAGATATGAATTCAATGTTTGCTGATACAAAAATAGCAGGTCCCCAGATGTTTTAAAATGCCGACATAAGACTATGATTTGTGTAAGTATTATTAAAGTCGCTCAAATTTGCTGCATATAATTATTCTATTATAGCTTTAGAGAAAAGATAAAAGGAATTACCTCAATTAATACCTCAAAAAGATATTAAGAGCATCCATTTATATCTAATTGGAAATTGCTTTTTTATTTAAAGGAAAATGGAGCTTTAAGAATATTGATAAAGGTAATATACGTCTTCTCATCTTTCCTGCGAAAAGAAACAAAGACTGATTCATGTTTAAGTATTCGTCTTGAGATGGGTTGGTATCTTACCGTAAAAATGCTTGTCTTATCAAGGCATGCAGATGACTACTTTAATGTCTTCATAAAAACGATTATCGACTGCCATCGTAAGAACATTGACAAATGTTATCAATATTTAGTTCGGCGCGATAGTTCTCTGACATCGGCCTTACAGCCCCCGCCCCCTCCCCACATCTATATCATTAAGGGGGACACTTAAGACTTTGACGGGTTGGTGTGCTTTAAAACGACCAACTTCTTATTTGTTTTGTTATAAATCAGACTGATTTGTATGAAGTCGTTATACCTTTCGGTCATGATAATAAATCAGCTTATTGTCTCGTTCATGGAACATTCGTGTTCCCCATTAGTGCCGTGGTAATTTGAAGTCAGGATTAGATCTTTTGTGCCAAGACATGCATGATATGGCCGTTTCTCCTTTCAGAATGGGTTGAAAGCACTTCATATGTTAACGGCTTGACAATTTGATTAACAATGTGGTTTTTGTAGGATCAGGATCATGATTAGGATCAGAAACGCGACAACTGGGAATAGTGTGAGCGATTAGATGCCAAACTATTCCCTTAAAAAAAAAATAGCCACGTTCTTGTTTACCCGTGATAAAGGCCTCATATGTTTCCAGGTGCATCTTAACAACTTTTAAAATCATCAATTCAAAATATGTTTTAGTTCGTATGCAAACGATACTGGTTAGAGAAAAAAATAATAGTCATTTCAAACGAGCGAGATGTTAACGAGTTTCCTCTAACATAACCTACTGGTTTTGTGTGATATACTATACGATCTATGAAAGCCAGAGACTCGATAACAAATTACGTAAATTGAAAAAGCTGCAATCATAGACCAATTCATAGTTGATATCAAAAGTGATACGTCCAATCCCAATATGGTTTTAAAAATGCAAAGGTGATGTGTGTCTTGCACTATCCGAAATTCTGTTTTTAAATTCTATGTGGTTTATAGAATTATTATTTCACTTCAATCATCTTGTTACCGATCACGGTAAAACAGCGTTACCCTGGGAACAAATCGACCCAAGGTTCATCTCGGTCCCTGGCATCCCATCATCATTTCGGAAAGAGGAGAATGATCGAACAACAATTTGCAAAGGTATAACCTCTTACGTTTCAATCACACTGCTATCCATTTCACGTTGCTAACGGGCTAGACTCGTACGTCTATTATCATCATGGTGTTGATAAGGGGAGGAAGAAAACATTCCACTGCTATTATTGGAAACCTAACGTTTCTATAGCAATCTGGCTCCACCCTAAGGCTTCACGGAAAGGGGAGGAGAGGAGGAGGAGGGGGGGGGGGTAGGGGTATGGTTTTCTTTCTCTAGGGAGCTTGTCTGATTCTAACATTAGGATGATTTCCTCCAGGCTCCGCGTTCATTCTTTCACGAACGTTGGAGAACCAAGCGGGAATTCAATTATGTGTGCTATCATGATGAAATTGAATTATCCTCTCTTTTTCCCGGGCGATGCGTGGCCTATTTCTAAATTTTGCCATGATATAATAATGTGGGAGATTGTGCCCATTTCTAATGTGTTTATAGTATAATAAAAAGTCATTGAAGTGAAAAATGGGCAACACAAATTAATTTGATTATTCTCCTCCCTCATAATTTCTGTTGATCTATCTATCTTTTTATATAATACATATATATTATCTCCCATCTATTTATTTACCTATATATCTATTAATCTATCTATTAATCTATCTATCTATCTACCTACCTATTAACCTATTAACATGTCTATGATTCTATATATCTATATCTTTATTTATCTATATTTCAGTCCATCTATCAATCCATCACATTGATATACCTATTTATTTATGTCTATCTTTCCATTATCTCTCTCAATCCCTCCTTAATATCTACAGACCTGCATCAATCTATCTATATCTATTTGTTTGTCTCTTTTTTTTAATCGTTAAACTCCGTTAAACTATTTGTTTATCGTTCTCTATTTATTTCTCTTTTTTCTCCCTATCAAAGTATTCCATATGAGTTGTTAACCCCAAACTGTCTTCTTCTCTCTTTCTCCATTTATTCCTCACACTCTCTTAAACATCTCATATCAGTGTCCCCGCGTCCAGCTTCCTCTACACTCTTTTGTCATGAATAGTGTTTAAATATTAATTAACACGGCCAATCAGACCCCGTCAGGCGGATGATTGAAATGAAAGACCGCCGGGGAAAAGAAAACACAATATGGAAATGTTTTTCTTTCATGTCAAATACCAATTGGCTATACCACTATGGGACGTGTGTTATGACTTAGCTGTCATTACACGTTTACATTTTTCACACGAGATGGAGGCGACATTCAACCCGCACGGCTTTCTTTGCATATTGGTTAGGTATTGATGGATGCATTAGAAAGGTAATGTTTCGCTGTCATCTTAACTAGATATGAAAACACTATACGGTATTAAATTTCAATACGTTTTTTTTATGTAAACATACATTCGGCTGTCTCACTAGGAAAATACAATTAGCCATTTGCACGTACATTGTGCACTGAAGTCATAATAGTCAGTACAGCCTCGATCTGGAAACTGACAAATGTTGGAAAGCTATAATTGTTCATCCATAATTTTTTGTAATAAACAGATTATTATTAAATTTTGAAGGCTACATGAAGGATATTTTCCTTATACAGAATCAAAAGAAGCAATAACAGAAAAAAGTCGAATTGGTTTGGGGTGCATGCCTGAGTTTCTGTGATCATATTAATCATTATAAATAATCTGATTGTAACAATACAATCATTTATTATACCACCTCAATTTCACCCGTACCAACAACAAAAAACATCGACTCGCAAGGAGGAATCTTAAGAAATTTAGTTTTTCTATCTTCGTAGTACTGTAGAGGTATGTGATTGAACAGAGTGGATCGAAAACAAAGATAGAGATCAGCATCATGCAATCGCAAGAGGGAGCTGTTCCATGAAATGATGCGCCTTGGTGCAAGGTGGTTGATTTACTCCGAAGTTAAAAGCCAAGGGGTACTGATGGATGGAGAGAGAGAGAGAGAGAGAGAGAGAGAGAGAGGGGAGAGAGAGAGAGAGAGAGAGAGAGAGAGAGAGAGAGAGAGAGAAGGGGGAGATGATAAATCAGAAAGGAAGTATAGCTTTCCGTAGAGAGAGAGAAAGAGAGAAAGACATCCAGACAGATGGACAGGCAGAGGCGGTACGGAGAGAGAGAAGGAGAGAGAGAGGGGGGAGAGGGAGGCAAAACGAGAGAGAGAAGAGAGAGAGAGAGAGAGAGAGAGAGAGAGAGAGAGAGAGGCACCATACAGACACAAAGAGAGAAGGAGAGAGACCGACAAACATACACGCACATGCACACATACACACATATAGAGGGAAGGAGCGTGTTGAGAATAATGTATAGAAAGAAGAGGTTTGAGGAGGGAAAAAGGAAGAAAAAGACGATAACATGATGAAATGCTGACAGGAAGAATGCGATTACAGAACCAAATTGAATTCTGAGGCTTTTCTCGCCAACTCGAACCAAATTTACAAGACAAACATCGGACTTGCTTGTCCGGCAAATATGATTAACGAGTGTGAACATGGTAAAACCACCTGCAACAGAGTCCATTTTACAAGCATGTAATTTGTGACCGCCACTTTTATAACTGAATTTAGTTGATGAGGATGATGTATGAGCCGTCAGGTGATACAGATGGAAAGGATTTATTTGATTAATGGTTTGGTTTTTTTAGAGTACATGTATTGTAATGGTACTTAGCATATATTTTTCCTGTTCTTTCTTCGTCCAGCTTTGTGTCTCTGCTTCATATTGTTCTAATCATTACGTGTATTTGCACGTATCTGCTCTCTTCCTCTATCGCCCTAGTTCTCTATTTGTCGGTCTGTCGGTCTGTCTGTCTGTCTGTCAGGGAATTTGTTTGTCTCTCTATCTGTTGCACTGTGTATCTGGCCGGCTGGCTGTCCCTGGCACCCCCCCCCCCCCCCTCTCTCTCTCTCTCTCTCTCTCCTCTCTCTCCCTCTATTTCACTATTTTCATTCATCCGTCTCTGACCTTCTTTCTCTTCATTTTGATAGCTATGTATACACCGAAATTTCCAACTTTATGTCGATTATCTGTTTTTGTTTTCAAATTCTCATTTTCCAGCTAAATCATTATATTATGCACTGACCTACCGCTTACAAAAATGGTAAAATATATTTTACTTTACCCCTAAACCATTAAAAATTGACATCTAGTTGCTGCATGCCTAATAAAACACTTGAGAATATATGGAATGCAATTAATACAGTGGAGCACTGACAGAAATCAATAATAATATGCCTACCTCAAATGTCCCGTTCTCGATGTCGGTCATTTCTAAAAGCGAGTAGTCGGAATCGCGATCTCCATTCTCATCAATCGATATATCACCAGATATTCCTGAAAAAGAAGAAAAATGCAACGTTTTTTAAGTTAAAAAAAATAAAAATGACATTTGAAAAGATCTCGTTCAAGATGATTGCGCTGGGATTTTGTTTACCAATACCTGCGTTCTTGTCTTCAAGGTAGCCTATATCCACTAGGCATGCAATTTTAATAAGAGCTGAATATACTGTAGAAGACAGGTGACGTTAAATCACAGACATTGATTTTCTGATCTCTAAATCGGGCACATCTAAGCCTATCTGGATAATAATAGTGGTAACTATGTTCTTTCAGAAATAATTAGATCGCAGCCCGCAGCCTGAACTGTGCAATGTTTTGACATTAATATGGAGCCTTTGGCTTAGCTTTGTACTTGATATTCAAAGTCTAACTAACTGCACCTGGTTAAGTCTTCGATCGACTCCAAGCTAAATTAAACTTGTACGTTATGTCGTGCCTTGGCTGTTTGTGTCCTGAACTATCTATCAACTTTACAGTTTCATTGATGAATTTGATAATTATTTACCTTAGAATGTGTTAGCACATAGGTATATTTAACTCTTTTCTTCGCATTTATAGGCTACAATAATTGTCATGGCCTAAATTTCGGTGTGATGTGGATGGCCAAAATAATTATGCGTACATTTAGTATCAGGTCAAAGCGTTGTATTGAAGTATCCATACGTATACAGATTGATAATGTTTTATCTTTTCTTAGTTCCTGTAGAAAGGGATTATTCAGTGTTTAATTCAGCAAAATCTTCTCATTCTCTCCATCGAATTCTTTAGGCTATCAATTTGAGGAGAGAACTGCCTAAAAATGGGAAATTCAAAAGACCAAGAGGGTGGAGGCAGTTCGGTAGGGAAATAATCCCAACATCACCACGGCCTCTAAACGTTTCGTTCTCCTACACCTTCACTTTAGGGAGGAATTAATAGGCCTTTCTTTGATTGTACACACGGTGAAATGCATTAAATCTTCTGGATCATTCGTGTCAATTGGCAAGTATCAAAGAAACTATAACTTCACGTGAAATTACTACTACCAAGTTGTTATCTCTTTTTTCCCCATTTCTGAAACGCAACAGTTTGGTATAGATTGCGCTACAAATAGAGGGCGCTATTGGTTCATCAAGGGTAGTGTCCCTTTAAGGGACACTAATCAAGGGCATAGCCGTCTATACACATGTGTATAGATGGCTCTGATCAAGGGTCCTTGATTTGTTTTTGGTTTCACTCATAGTGCTAACGCAATCTGAGTTCATATCAATGTCCGCAAAATATCAGTACGTATGTCTGAAATCAATAAAATGTAACTCTAAACGCCACCTGCCTCGATAACTAATGCAGTCGTATCAGGTATCTATGATCAAATAGCACATTATTTGTAATTCATGATGTACATACGGGCCTTATTTTGTTTAGTTTTCATCAGTATTGATTTACTTTGACCTACGTAGCACATGACCTTACTATAAACACATCTTCAGGTGACCTTGACATCATTAAAAAAAACTGGGCTATATCGAATCTTTTTATCGGAGCTTGTAACATTGCTTGATGAAAAGCGATTCGTACTGTTTTGACTATGCAACGTTCAATCTCACGACCTTTATCGGAAAATGCAGAGATTATAGGCTTATTAAATATTGCAATGGGCCCCGAATAGGAATCATTTACGTGAGTCAAACCGCCAAACAGTTTTCAAACCGATTCCAAACCGAGTAATTCTTGGCGATTTGATCTGTCGTCTGTCTGTCTGGTATAAGTCTCGTTTAATAGGACTGGGATATCAGTAGCGGTACCTGGCGGTGGCTTATACCAGAGGGCCTACACAGCTAGAACTATTTACACTGAGTCTGTAAACGTAAATCATCGAAAGTCGTAAGAGGCTGAAATCATTCAGAATCACAGAAAACTGAACCTGCGACTAGGTCCGTCTCCAATGTAATTCCAATTCGTCCCGCATCGTTTCAATTTATTTTCAAAAAGGACTTCGTAGTCGTCACGCCATTACAAATTTTGCTAGTAATCACCTCGCCCACTGGCCTACTAACCTTCGAACGTCCTGTTCCACATACGCCTCGTGATGAGGGCGCCATCTCGTGGGTCAGCGTCTGGATCGGCAAGGGTTTCGTTCAGAGCGATGGCGTACAGGAGCACGGCGTCGTGGAATGCTCCTACAAAGCTGTTCACCTGAAAAATGATACAAAATACAATGTAGTCATAATTTAGAACACTATCAAGGAAAAAGAGTTTGTTTGAGTTCTGATACAGCGTGAATTTGCTTGTTTCTTATTGGTTATGAATATCGAATATTTCAAATATAAATTCAGCATCAACAGGTGCTGTGACAAATATGACGAGGAAAAATAATTGATCACATTATACAATACATTCATATCTTGATATCTATTTGTAAAACCACCATCAACAAACTACTGATATAAGATAATTTTGTAGCAATAATCCATTTGCAATCTATCTTCTGAATAACGATATCAATGATGTTACATTATCAGGGTTGTATTGACGAAATCTTAATGCGAAATATGAAACATAAATCGATTCAACTATATCAGCTGCCATCAGAAGCAGATGTTCTATTCCCGGTTTTCGATTTGTCTGGTTATCACTACCTTAGATACCCTTCTATCTATATCCAATCTGAACATTTTTTTTTTGTCTGGCTGTGCTGTATTCAGTGGATGTACTGTGTAAACGTGAGGCTATGGAAGATGTGTTGTGTGGTCCTTATCTGTTCATACATTGGGCACACAAAGCAAGACGCGGAGGCTTCGGTCCCAGTAGCTACCCATAAATCAATAGCACAGGCTCACATGCAAGCAGATCACGCAAGGAATATACGGCGAGGGGAAATGGGCAACATATCTCCAAGGAATTATTATGATGGCTAAATATACCAGGATTACTACTAAAACAAAGTGGAAGTAGTAGCCTATAGAAGAGAGAGGTAGAGAAGAAAGAGGGAGAGAGGTAGAGAGTTAGGGGAGGATGGAATAAGAATAGGAAGGTGAGAAAGGGAGGGAGAAAGGAAGAAAAAGGGATACAGAGATAGAGAGAAAGAGGGTGAAGGAGAGGGAGAGTCTCAGAAAAAAATAATGTGAGAGAGAGATGAGGGTTGTGGGTATAAGAAAGTATTAGCGATGACGGGGGATACAGATGTAACAACAAACGAATGGACGTGGAAGAAGAAGAGAGGAATAGAAAGAGAGAGGGAGAAAGAGAGAAAGAGAGAGAGGGAGAGAGAGAGAGAGAGAGGGGGAGTAAATGGTTGTATAGGTCCAATTATCATCCAGTATTTCACCTGTCTACCATACTCAGACCACAAAGAAAACAATTGACCTGTATGCCTTTTTCTAACTCCCCCACCCCCAACTTCGACCCCAGTCCAAGCTTCCTACCAGACTCAACGCGCAAAAGCAATCCACCTACCCCCCCCCCCCCCCAACCTCCTGTCCATGCACACCGACCCCAAGAAAGAGCATCCCTCTGCTTTTTCGAACGCTAGGTGGCGCAGATGGGCCATCGATGAGGGAGCAACGCAGGGGAGCCCGAGCGGAGATGGAGGAGAGAGACGAAACAAGGCGATCGAAATGGATGTCCACAAACTTTACAGACATTCCTCGAGAGAAATGAAATAATGGATGCGTAATGACAAACGTGACCTACTTCCAGTTTCCTTGTGTAACAGATTTCCCCTGATTTCAAAGCACGAAATATATAGCCTCCAGCTGAGAGAATGCTCATACAGTTTTTCCGTTTAGAACCCTTGTAACACATTTCCTGTCAGCCGGCCATTTGTCTCATTTGAAATGAATGCCACGATATTTAGATATGATTTGACAAAGTCGTCTTCTTCAGATATCATGTATTTCTATCTTAATTTTGATTTCTTACCACGGATGCTTAAGGCATGATAATGGTGATGCGAAGTGATGGCTCAGTGGTACAGCAGACAGTGGTCGTGTATTAAATCGACATGCCCCGGGCCCGAAGCCAAATCGATTTGCTATTGGTATTTGTTAGGTAATTTCATCTACCAGCATAATTCAGTATATATATTAGCAGTCAGGTTAACGAAAAACATGCACCAACTAATAATTATCATCATTATTATTATCATCAGGTCATCATCATCATCATCATCATCATCATCGTCGTCATCATCATCATCGTCATCATCATCATCATCATCATCATCGTCGTCGTCATCATCATTATCATCATCATCATCAGATCATCATTATCATCATCATCATCATCATTAAGTGGGTGTGGGTTTGAATATAGGCTGTGAGTGTGTTCATTACTTAAACACAGCTCGCAAGCGATAGGTTGGTATCCTCATCCGGTGCTGTAGCTTCCTTTAATGCAGGAAGTTTCTCTCACTGTTACATCCTAGGGCTCTAGATGTTAGGCAAAAAAGACAAAATGTATACGCATACACTCTGATTCCATTTCTCAATGCATTATAATCATACTGGGTCATCTTCATAATCACTTTGTCGGAGTGTATCTATAGGACAAGTCAGGCGCCACAAATCCATTTCACACTCTGTCTTTATTTTCAGAGACCAACGTTCGCTTCTTCATTTCATTTGTTAAATCGAGCAAGCCTCTATGATTTCAAAGCGAGATGGTCGATTGTTTATGTAGTTGACCAGTCGGACGTGCACAAGTCGAAGCAGCAATCGATTGATTCCCCAACTAGCCGCGATTTCGTGTATTGATCGCGCTCCATATCATATCACATCGTAGATGAAGCAAGAGAACGCGTTTCGATCGCAGTGCAGTCGAGTAGTCTGCATGATGACGTTGTGTCGCTATATATATTCAATTAACATCATGCACTAGAACAGCTCTTATTTATATTCACACACAGTGACAAAATACCAACACTACGTTTAATTAGTAAACAAAAACAAGGATGGAAATCGATCACCCTGGAACTTCCCAAGAATTCATTGTCTTTTGCAAATCATCATGGTGATACCGTAACCATACTTCTTTTGTTTTGTTTAGAGGCAAGAAGAGTGGACAGAGGGAGACGAATAATAACTTATAGATGAAACTTGGTATCAAGAGTGTGATCTGTTTTACGTGGCCTGTATACGAGGATAACTCTAATTAAACAATAAGGAATCTCCTATTACACCTAAAGCAAATTATTTGCTACTGTGTGTGTTATTGGCTAGTTGAGACTTGCGTGTAAGGTAACGTAATATATTTGTAAATAACGAGATAATATACTTCCTGATTTCCAAACATAGCACAATCAGTATCACATGCGAAGAGCTGTATACCCTAGTTTGTGAATAAGATGCCGTGCTTCTCGTATCATTAGTCATGTCTTCTCTGCTCATGCAAGCATAATTGATCTTAGTTAAGCCAACATAGTTACATGTGACCTATCAAGCATGATGTCTTGTCAATTCGAATCGACTTTTAAAGCAGATAGATACATCAATGTTTAATGTATCATCAATTCCGCTTAGCGAGACGCACGAGGCAAAAAACAAAAATCAAAATGAGCAATTTATTTACTGGAATTTTTTGCGAGGCACATTAAAGATGTCATCAAAGTGGAAATTTATAGATACATTAACGTTCCGGGATCTGAATATTTCATTTTCGACGTATCAAACGCGGAAATACGACCGTACGATGCAGGTCCACGGTCGACTCTGTGTGAGATTTATTTTTCTTATCTTGTCAGGATGAGTGCTGACACGAGGAATTATTCGAGATTCATCGGGTCAAAACATTCATATAAATTTGTCCAGCCTGTCACTTCGAATACTACAAGGACATTAAATTCATTAGAAAGATCAAGTACACACTTATTTATCACCGGCTTTGTTTTCATGCTCCCTGCAATGGCATCGTAATGATCATTAAAATACCTGCAAAGATCGTTTTATAATAATAATCTGGATTTATATAGCGCTTGATACAGAATACCGTCTCTAAGCACTTTACAGATATTGTTTTTCTCTCTCTGTGCTTTAGTATAACTTCTTGTGCACTGCATTTAATTCCAAAAGCGCATGCGTGTAGAAGGTAATCCTCATGCTACTACTAAAAATAATTATACAAAAAAAATATTTTTAAAATACGTTAAGGTTGGATCATGTTATGGGCCATTACAAATAAAATTCATGATTTATCCTCTTTTTTTTTTTTAAAGATCTGTCTAACTCTCACAACACGAATGGATACATAAATCAGAATGCTTAATTGAAAAGTATGCCGGGAAAGTGTCAACGAGTAAGACAATTCTAGGATGTATTCGAGTACATACATTTATAAATCATTTCGAAAATGGTAGATCGTACATGAAAAAAAACCCAGATATTTGACCAATTAACCCATGTTCCGAAACTTAACAATATTATGATTACATTCCGACAAGTCTACGAAAAAGAGTGATCCACACATTATACATTACACTCTAAGAAAAAAGGGTGCAAAAAAGGGTGCAAAATAAGAGTTTGCACCCTTTACGTTAAAATGAACCCTTTTGAAGGAAAAGGGGTTCAAAAAAGGGTGCAAAATAAGATTTTGCACCCTTCCCACAAAAATGAACCCTATCGACCAAAAAGGGTGCAAAATAAAAGTTTGCATATTGCATGCATATTCATGATGACTTTACACGTGTTCACATAAAAAATACATCAATCATGATTTGTTAAACAAATTATGACAATGCGCATCAGTTTTGTGATTTGAATTTTCCTTCGGCAATCATTAAACAAATATATTATTTTGTCTGATCATGTTACAATTACATTCACGTTTTAGCAATATATACATTGATTATATGATTACTAACCAATAAACAACATGCATGTTTAATATGTATTTGTGTACGAGCAAATATCACGAGTATTCCTCGAGTATGGAAGAAGGATTGCACATTTTAAAGGGTGCAGGACTGAACCCCTAAAGGTGCTGCCTTTGCATCGGTATGCACCCCTAAAGGAGCAGGATTGAACCATTAAAGGTACTAACATGTCTCCTAAAAGGTGCAATCTGGCACCCTCCTTAAAGGGTGCAGGATTTAACGCCTAAAGGTGCTGCTATTGTTGCATCGGTTTGCACCCCTAAAGGTGCAGGATTGAACCATAAAGGGTACTAACATGTCCCCTAAAAGGTTCAATCTGGCACCCTTT